AAGAAATCAATCTTAAAAAAAAAAAAAAAAAAAAGATAGAGCTTTCCTCTAACCCACCCAGCAAAAACCAGCTTGGAAAATATAAGAGACAAATAAGATGTCAATGAAAACTCCTGGAGTATCTAGGAATTACTTTAATAAAGAATACACAAATTCTGTATTTTCATTTATTCAGATTTTTATGTCCTCTAAACAAATTTAAAAATATTCTCCATACAGGTCTTGGATGACTACTTAAGAGAGATGACAATTCTCCTTAATGTATAAATGCATTGCAATCGCAATCTAAATTGAGTGTTTTGAGGGACTTCATAAACTTTCAATCTAAAGCTCTACAAATGCCTAAATCAATTTTGAAAACTCAGACTAAAGTAGGAGTCTGGCACAAGTACAAACAGACCAGACCAATGAAACAAATCAGATGACTCAAGACAGATCCATGTAAACAAGGGGACTTGAGATGAGTACTGCACACCAATTGAGAAAGAATGAACTACTTAGGAGGTAGGACTGGAAAAACTGCCCACTACATGGAGGAAAATAAAACCCGAACTTACCTTATACCACAGTCAAAGGTGGACTCTAGATAGATTAAATAAAGACTGAATGCGAAAGGTAAAACCACAAGTGAAAAGAGTCTTTGTGATCCAGAGGTAGGGAAAGAGAAGATTCTGAAAGCACCGATGATGTGGCAAAAAGTAATGCATGTTAGCACACCAAAACTATGAACGGGTATCCATCCTTGGGGGAATTGTTAAGTAAAGGCAGTAGGCAAATCCCATTATATCCTTGGGACCAATTAGAAGCAAAGCCCTAATATACACGTGGCAATACACACAGATCTTGAAAATGCAGCACTGGGTAATACCAAGGTCACAAAACAGAATGCTCTAACTGCCATTTGTGTCTGTGAAAACAGCCACTCAAAATAACACTAAATATTTTAGAAGAATACATATCAAACATGACAAAACAGCTGCCTATAGCTATGGGAATAAAAAGGAAAAAATTCAATATTAAAGAGAAAAAAATCTAAATGGCAAGAGGCTTTACACTAATCTATGAGTGAAACCTACCTTGAACTGGAAGAGTATGATTGACTCAAACTTCTTAACTTGAGGTCTTTTAAAAGCCAAAAGAAAGCCACTGGCTTTATTCGGTAATAATGTCTGAAACAAGTATGTCACCTACTCAAACTCAAAAACTACCATTGCGCACTTCCAATGAATATCATCCCAAAATGAATGCTTTTCAAAAGACATTTTTAAAGGTCAAGACTGAGTAACACTAGACAATGACCACATCTCAAATTAGGGCTCGCTTTCCAGAAAACAAAGTATTAATAATTCTACATTTAAAAAAGGGGTAGTGGTAGAAGAAATTCTTTGTAAGGTATTTAAAAAGCTCTTTCCTTCTTCACTTTTTATAAACCCACTCAATATAGGCTTTCGGGGAGAGTCAGGTCAGTTTTCCCATGTAATCTTAAAATGTCAGGAATAGATCATCTGCATTAGAATCAATCGGGGTGCTCCACCAGGATGCTGAGGGTATGGCCCAGGAGCTCTGTATTTTACCAAGTGCCCCAACTGTTTCTTGGACATACTGGAGTCCAATTGTCTGAGCTTCCCATTCCAAATCAGGTACCATGCCAACATCAGGCCACCTTGTCCCTGCAGTCTTCCACGATCTGACCTGGCTTGTTCCATACTTATCCTGGGCAAATTTCTGACACTGAAGGCACCACTGTCATCCGTCCCACAAACCTCAAGCTAAACCTCTCCCCTGAGCATCCACAGGTGCTTCTAACCCACCACCCATCTGCCACCCACCTCTGCTTCTCCTCCTGCACGGGCTGTCCACATCTTAGTGAGTGGTGCCATATACCTAGTTGGATCCCAAACTGGAAACCCGGGCATCAGCCTTCATTTTTCCCTTTCTCTTGATCCCTTCCCACCCTCACAACAAACCATGGCATCCGTCAAGCTGCAATCACCTATAAACTATGTGGCCTCCCTTGTGAGACCCTGAGTAAGGAGAAGGCTGCAGTCTTATGTGTCTCACTCACCACTGCACTCCCAGAGCCCAGCATAGGTCCTGGGCCACAACAGGTGCCAAGTAAATGTCTGCTGAAAAGAAACCAATCTTTGGCTGCCCTCCACTGTCCAGAAGTCCCCTTCTAGCACCTTACTGGATCAATTCTCATGAGGGGACAAGCCTAGGCTGCTCGGTATGGGTGGGAGCAGATAACTCACCGTCTTTCATACTCCATCTCCTGGTAGGGCCTGCGGGGGCTGCTGGGGCCCCTCCTCAGCCGCTGGCTCCGTTTCACTTCCCAGCCACCCCCGCTGCTGCCACCATGATCTGCCAGTCTGGGTGATGCCTCCTGCAGGGACTCTGGGGAAAGTTGAAGGAAGAAAGGAGTCAAGAGAGTTGGGGCAAAGAGGGCATCCTTGAGAAAGCCTAGCTGTCAAGGCTCTCTGCTATCCCTTAGTTCAGGGATGTTGTTTTCCAACTCCTAGTGCTCCTATGGACCAGGAGCAGGAAGGCAGCCCCTTCCCGGCCTGCTCCTTTCTTTCCCCACAAGTGTGAAGCTAGAGTCCACCGACTAGAAATAGCAAGGCCTCCGGCAGACACGGAACATCTTGCAGAAAGACCTGGTGGTGCCACCCATTCTGTGATCAGGGCTTTGCTATCTGGCAGTGGTTCTAGCTCGGATATGTCTGCCAGGGTCCTGAAGCGGGGAGCAGGGTTGGGGGGTGGGGGTGGGTCTGTCAGTGTTAGATGAGTTATCAGAGATTAGGTACATTAGGCATGGAGACAAGAATTCACAATGGGAATCCTGGCACCCACCCGGTACATTCCATGGGCCCCTGGGTGCCATTTCATCCTCCCAGCAAGGTGCCCCCTACAAGACAGTACATCTTAGGGGGTGAACATCTTAGGAGTGAAGGGGCTAATCTGGCAATGAAACAGCTGCCGCCTCCTGGGCTCCTGGCCAAAACAGCCTTGGCCCTCACATGGTAACTGGCTCAGCCCTGAGCACTGTCTCTTATGCACAGCCAGGTCCCAAGACGATTCTCTCCCCAGGGCTCTGGGCCCAAGGTTTTCAGAAGCAAAAAAGAGGCCCTTTCAGAGACTGTTCCATGGAAGGGCGGTCACTTCATCCAAACCGTCAAAGCTGCAGTGAGAACTAAGGAAGTCCTGAAAGCCACGTGACCCAGCCAGGGGTCACCCGAAGTCTGCCAGAATTTTTGGCCCCTGCTTTCTGAAGAGGAATCAGGCAAAGCCAAGGCACTAACAGTACCTGCCTAACATTAGGTTTCCACCACACCTTTCCTCCACACGCAGGCATGCTCGCACATACACGCACACCAATTTTCTCTTCTCTTCAAACCACAGAAACCAGAGCTACCTGCTCCCAGATGGTAAGAGTCAGAATCAAAACCAGTGGCCCTAATGGATGAGACGGATACAAAACCTTCATTGGACTCTGGGATCCATTACAGATAGGGACCAAAGGGTCCCAAATAACTAGGAGCCAAACATCACAGACAGGAGCCCACAATAAATACGGGCCATAATCACACACACACAGCCCCCTTTCAATGGGTGAGGGTCCGGGTCACAGATAAGCACCCCACAAAGAAAGGGCGCTAAGTCATACACACATTCCTTGCATTCCCTCCCTACCCTGCAAGTGGGTTAGGGTCAGTCACTAGAAGACTCCCTATGGATAAGGCTCCTTCCCCACTGATAAAGACCAAAGTTAGAGACACACTCACAGGACTTACCTTGACCAAAGTACTACGGTGTTCTCCCTTCTCCTCCACCCAAGAATAAGGACCAGAACCACAGAACATTTCCCCACGGATAAAGTACCAAAGTCACCCCGAGCAGACAGCACACCCTCTCCCCTATGGGTAAACAGAGTCCCAGACACCCGCCTTCCCACGGATAAAGTTTGGGGTCGCACCCACAGTAAGTCACCGCCACTCCCCTTCGTGCCTCCCTTCCCCCAACCCGCGTGCACCCATCCAGAGTCCCAATCGCGCACGCGCCTCCGTTCTCTAAAGGACAGAGAGAAAAAAAGACACCCCCCCCCTTCCGGGCTCCGGCCGAGCACGCATCGCCAGGTTCCCTCCGCCGTGCGAACCCCAGCAGTCGCCCTGCAGGCCGCGCCCGCGCCTCTCCTCTAGGCGTCCCCCCCCCCCGCCCGGCCCTTACCTCCGCCCCCACGACCAGCGTCGACGCTCACCTTCTCGGCCCGGGCTGTCAAGGGAGGGCTCCCAGACATCACCTCGGCCCGTTGCCACCTCCTCCCAATCTCCCACCTCAGCCGGAGCCGGTCCGCGCCACCACCAAGTCCAAGGCTGGAGGCGAGAGGGGAGGAGGGGGGAGGGAGAAGCGCCGAGCGCGCTGCCCTCCCCGGGAACCCTACTGCCGCCTACTCCCAGCCCGCCGCAATCCCCAGCACAAAATGGCGACGACGAGAAGGGAGCCGGCGCTCCGACCACCATCCACCTACTAAGGGAGCGCGCTCTAGCCGGGCTCGTCTATTGGTCGCCGGGTGCCGTCGGCAAGCCCCGGCCGCGCTGATTGGCAAGTGCTTGCCACCTCCCCACTTCCCGTGCGCACGCCCCCAAGTGGAGAAACAGAGGCGCGGCTGGCCAATCCCGAGAGACCCGCTTTTCAGAAGCGGCTTCCTGCAGCGAGGGCGCCCGGCGGAAGCCCGCCCCTCCCCCCCAGGGCCCGGGAGCGCTCGGTGCGATTGGTCGGCAGCTCTAGCCGCCCAAATGTCACCGTTTTTCTTCTCCCGGAGGAAATGAGCAGGCCTAGCCATCACAAATGCCATAACCTGACCGAATAAGAAAATGGTTGCTCCCGTGAGGCCATGACAGAGGGAGGAAAAGAGGGCTGCTCAATGCATCGCCTCGCTAGGATACAAAGTCCAGACTCGGGACCTATTTAGTGCGACCAGCTGAGGGCGGAGCGACAACGATCGCGCTCGAGCCAACTGCAGCTGCGCAGAGTCGCATTTCCGTCCCCGCCCCCAGCCTGCAGAACAATCTGTCATGGCGGCCGGGCTGTTAGGTTTGTGCGCTCGCCGCATTTTGGTCGTAGCGGCGAGGAGAGGGTTCCCGGCCGCCGGTGTTCGCTGGGAGTCCAGCTCGACCAGGGCTGTAATCGCCCCGACCGCTGTGGCGGGAAAGCGGACGCCGGCACCGACAATACGCTGGCAGGAGGACCCGGATCCCGAGGACGAAAACCTCTATGAGAAGGTGAGAGGGAGGAGAAACGGGACGGCAGAAGGGTCAATCGGGGGCCGGCGGACGGGGCTCGGCAGAGGACGTTATTGGGCAGCTGAGAATTGTGCAACTGGCGAAATCCTCGAAGACGTGGGATGTTTTTCCCTACCTTGGTTTCCTTCTTAGTTCCCTGAGATCTTCGGTTCAGGGCCAGAGGCGAGATTGGCCTTATTTTGCAGGTGTCAAACCTGAAGTGAGCAGCGCTCAAGACACGATAGAAACAATAAGGTTTAACAGCAGCAATACTGAACACTTTACTTACGTTAACTCATCTAACCCTGAAAACAACCCTGTTTCGACGTAGACACTGTTAGTATACTAATTCTGCGGATGAGGAAACTGAAGCGTGGAGATGTTAAGTGGCTCACCCAAGCTCACATAAGCAAATGTTTGGCAGAACTGGTATTTGAACTTAGGTTTACGATGTCTGCTGTGCTGTATTCATAACAGACTTTGAAATCAGAATGTTCGGGTTAGTGGCAGTTACTCACCTGTGTGACCTTGGGAAAGTGGCTTAACCCCTTGATGCCTCACTGTCTTTGCAAAATGGAGAAGGGATGACACCACTTTAAACATAAAATACTATACCTGTTTCATGTAAGTTAAATGAGTCAAAATGCTCACAACAGTAGCTGTCACTTACTAAGTACTCAGCGTTAGAAAGTGTTAATTGTTGCTACTTTCCATCTCACTGGAATATTACATTTGTGTATGCGAAAAGGACTGGCACATAATAGGTACTTCATTGGTATTAATCTCAGATTGTGGGACTTGGTTATATATAGCATGTTTATTCCTTCTGTTTGTTTTTTTTGTTTTTTTTTTTTAATTCAAGAACTGGGGTACAGGTCAGAGGCGCGGGAGGGTGAGAAAATTCACCAGAGACAGAGCGGGGAGCAGAACAGGCAGATGGGAGCAGAACAGGCAGATGAGCAGTGGGCGAGGCAGGAGAGGTCTACCATGCCATGTGGGTCTCTCCCTGGCCATCTGGGAATCGAACCCATGCTGCAGAGGTGGCGGACAGCTTCACAGTGCAGTGCTCAACCCACTGTGCCACCGGAGAGGCCCTGCTTCCTTCTGTAAATATGTATTGGGGACTTGCTGTATGCCAGGTGCACTTCAGGGTCCTAGGGATTCAGCAGTGTGGAAATGAAATAAAGCCCCCATTTTCAAGCAGCTTACATTATTGTGGAGAACAGAAAATAAACATGTAAAGTATTAGAAATCAACAATATAGAGTTTGTAACCCATAACAATAAAAGGTGATGGGATACAGAGGATCTGGGGGATGGGGGATGCTACTTTGGTAAACTAGTAGATGCTAGAAAGGAAGTTAAGGGCCTCCCCGGTGGCACAGCGGTTGAGCGCTGGGTTGCGAAGCTGCCCGCGGCCTTTGCAGCGCCAGTTCGATCCCCGGCTGCTCCCCGGCCACCGGAGGAGGGTCCCACATGGCACGCAGACCTCTCCTGCCGCCCGCTGCTCCCCTCAGCAGTGTACTTCGGTCCTTCTGCCTGCTCTGCTCCCCGCTCTGGCTCTGGTGAATTCTCTCACCCTCCCGCGCTTCTGACTGTACCCAGTGCTTGTATAAACAAAACAAACAAACAAACAAATAAATAAATAAAAACATGCCTCTATTTAAAAAAAAAAAAAAAGAAAGGAAGTTAAACAGGATAAGTGGATGGAAAGTGGCTTGGGGATAAGGCAGCATTTTGTTAGAATGCAATATTCAACCATTTCTAAATCTATAAATGGAGTTTCTTGCAGTTCACCTTAAGAGACAAGGTGACTAGGGAATGTTTCCTAAGGGAAATGATGATGGAGCCAAAACTTTGAATGGCAAATGGATGATGAGACACATCCAGCCATGACCAGATCTGGGGGAAAGACTGAGGGAACAGCAAGTGCAAAGGTCCTGTAGTAGGAAGGAGCTTGCCAAGTCCTAAGAATAGAAAGAGAGGAATTTAGGGAGGGAAGGGAGATTGGTCTGAGGTGAAATTGGAGACCAGGTCATGCAGGGCCAGCGCACGGCTTTGCGGAGTAGCGGGAAGCCCTCATTGACCTCCTCTCCTTGCCACAGAACCCAGACTCCCACGGTTATGACAGAGACCCAGTTGTAGACCTCTGGAACATGCGGGTCGTCTTCTTCTTTGGCTTCTCCATCGTCTTGGTCCTTGGTACCACCTTTGTGGCTTATCTACCTGACTACAGGTACGTGGGGTGTCCAAGAGGTGGGATGGGTGGGGGCAGAGGCAGGGTGGAGATTGGAGGAGGCCCTGCCGGATGTGCTGCCCTGTACCATTGGGGAATGGGGAACTAAGATAGGGAGTGGTGTCCCTTCAACTTTCTCATGCTTCCCCCCATGCTGCTGCCTCCAGGATGCAGGAGTGGGCCCGGCGGGAAGCTGAGAGGCTTGTGAAATACCGAGAGGCCAATGGCCTCCCCATCATGGAATCCAACTGCTTCGACCCCAGCAAGATCCAGCTACCAGAGGATGAAGACTGACCAGTTGCTGAATGGAGCTCAAGAAGCACCACTTTCTCCACCCCCTGCTCTCCACTCTGCCCTCTCCTCAGAGCACCTAATTAAAGGAACTGAAGGTCTGACTGGCTGGTGTTGATTTTGTTGTGAGGGGAATGTGCAGCCTTTCCAGAGTACCTGGTCATCTACTGCCATGTAACACACAGTCTAAAACTTAGTTGCTAAAATGACAGTTTGGTATTTCATGTTTCTGTGGTACTTCTGGGGGTCTCAGGTGGTTGCATTCAGATGGTAGCTAGGGCTGAAGTCCTCTGAAGGCTCAGCTGAGATGGACCTACAGGATGGCTTCTTCACTCACATGTCTGGCACTTTGGTGTTTTTCCACTTGGCCTCTCTCTGAGGCAGAATAGCCTGGGCTGCTGCTTTTTTTTAAAGATTTATTTATTTAAGCACTGGGTACAGTCAGAAGCGCAGGAGGGTGAGAGGATTCACCAGAGCCAGAGTGGGGAACAGAACAGGCAGACCGACAAAATACACTGCTAAGGGGAGCAGTGGGCGCGGCAGGAGAGGTCTTTGCGCCATGTGGGACCCTTGCTGGTGGCCGGGACCAAACTGGTGGTGCAGAGGCTATGGGCAGCTTCGCAGCCCAGCACTCAACCACTGCGCTACCAGGGGAGTCCCAGCCTGGGCTTCTTAGAGAGTGGCCTAGAGCTCCTCTGGATGGAGGTTTAGGATAGGAAGAAATTGATGGCAGTTGTCTTTTGGGAAAAGCTACCAAACGGAGGGGCCACCCTGGTGGTACAGGGGTTAAAGTCTCAGCGCTATCAAGCTATCGCCAGCCACTGCGGCCTGAGTTCGATCCCCAGTCAGGGAGCTGATCCACATGGTGGAGCAGACCTCTCCTGTCTCACCTGCTGCTCCCCCCAGCAGTGTATTTCAGTCAACCCGCTGGTCTGCTCCCCACTGTGTCTCTGGTGAATCCTTACCCCCGGCACCTCTGGCCTGCACCCCAGTTCTTGTATGCATAAATAAATAAAAAAATAAATCTTAAAAAAAAAAGAAAGAAAAGCTACCACATGGGGACCACCTACTTTGGACAAGTGGGGATTGAGGATGGCAGGTCAGGGCAGGACTTTTCTATTGCCGAGGATGGATGCTTAGCTCCCTGACTTCCCTGTTTGTGAGTTTTGGGTTTATGCCTCTGTCCTGTTCTTGATGAGTCTGGATGCCTCTCCTCCCTTCTTCCCCAATCTGGGTGGTCTCTAACTCAAGATTCAACAGTTCTATGTGTGTCTGCTTCCGTCTCTGCCCACCTTCTGTCTTTCTGTGTTTCTATCAAAAAGGAAGTCTTCCTCCCCCTATACCCCTACTTTCTTTCTCAGCATAGGCTGTCTCCTTAACTTGGGGCTCATTCTTTCAGGGTCTGTTTGAATCTGGCAAATGGAGTAGGGGCCTGGCTCTTGCTGACTTTTGTTTCTTTCCAGTGAGTCTCTCCTACTTCCCTGTTAAGTCTGGATGGCTGGGCTCCCCTTCATATTCCTGGCATTTCTGCCCTCTCTCTGGTGGCACCATTCCATAGCTCACATGTTGAAATTCCCACATCACTTGTTCATTGCTGCCTTCTGAGGGTATGTCTCTGCCTGGGGCTTCAGAGAGTGTAGGAGCCTCCAGCCACTGGCTACCGGAAGATGAAAATGGCCTGATGGACCTACCACCACAGGTGATAACCCCACTCAGCTACGGTGTCAGAAAGTGCCCTAGTCCTCTTGTATGTGACTAAGGTGGGAATGATGTCCACGTTAGCACTCCTGGAGGTACGCAGTGTCATTCCCTGAATGCTGCTTTCTGGGCCCAATCTCCCAACTCTTGGATAGGCCCCAAAGCAGAGAACACTATGGGAAAAGGGAACACTCCAGCTTGCAGTTACTGGGATTGGAAGTTAATCCTAGCCACCAAGCACCCCCTCTAATAAACCTTGGCCTGTTGCAGTCATACCCCACCACTGAGCTAGAGAACGTATCCCACTAGAACCCCCTGCCTTAGGGTATAAGCTCCTGAGAGCAAGTATTCAGCCATATCTTTTCACTAAGAGCAGCGACTGGCACAGTATGTGCTTGAGAAATGGTGTTGCCTCTGTGTCCTTCAGATTTATAGTCCTTTGGGGTGAGCACCTCAGATTTGCCTTCTCACCAAGCTCTCAGTGGCTCCAGAAACTTCCATTCTGGTCAAACAAAGGGCTACACTTAGACTAAATGCTAAAATCTATGCCCCTGCCCCCCTTTCTGATGTCAACAATACCACCTCCCCCCTCTCTTATCGGGACCCGGTCACACTGGCCACCTCTACTCTCCTTTTTTTAAACCTTCAAGTTAAAACATATATACAGATAAGTGTACGAATAAGTGTAGAAAGCACATTTACTTTTTTTTTTTTTGCAAAGATTTATTTATACAAGAACCAGGGTACAGGCCAGATGTGTGGGAGGGTGAGAGGATTCACTAGAGATTGAGTGGGTGACAGAACAGGCAGACTGAATGAAACACACTGCTGAGGGGAGCAGCGGGCGAGACAGGAGAGGTCTGCTGTGCCATGTGAGTATCGCCCTGGCCGGCTGGGAATTGAACCCACTCTGCAGAGGCTGCGACAGCTTCACAGCACGGCACTCAACCTGCTGCACCACCAGGGAGGCCCCATCCAGCTTCTTTCATCCAGCCTGTTTGTGAGATGGAGCTAAACTCTGGTAATCCAGTGCTTTGTCCATCGTCATTGCTTTATTCTCTCCTATTGCAGGCAGAGACCCCACTAAGTGCATTCTGATGTGATGGGCATTTGGGTAGTTTTCTATTTGGGGCTATTAAGAATAATTCTTAATTCTGTGAACATTCTTGTCCGTGATTTTTAAATTAAGTTTCCCCTGCCACCATCCCTCATATTCCCTTTGATCCTTTCTCCCTACCCCTACCTATAACCACTGAAACCTCACATTTATTAATGATTGGTAATTTTTTTTTAGATTTATTTATTTATGCATTCAAGAGCTGAGGTACAGGCCAGAGGTGCTGGGGGAGAAAGGGGTGAGAGGATTCAGCAGAGGCAGAGTGGGAAACAGAACAGGCAGATTGACCGAAGTACACTGCTGAGGGGAGCAGTGGGTGAGTCAGGAGAGGTCTGCTGTGCCATGTGGGTAGCTCCCTGGCCAGCCGGGGGATCAAACTTGTGCTGCAGTGACTGCAGAAAGCTTCATAGATTGCGTCTTAACCCCTTGCACCACCAGGGAGGCCCTCCTTTCATTTTTCCATAAATGACAATATTTCATCTTTCCATATGGCTTACTAGTATTCCATTGGGTGGATATTCCACACCTTTTTGATTCTTTTGATCCAGTCTTCTATTGATAGGCATTTAGGTTGTGCCCATGTCCTATCTATTGTAAATAGTCCTGCAATAAACACTGGAGAACATACAGTTTTTTGAGTTGATGGCTTCACATTTTTTAGATAGATGTACAGGAGTCAGATGGTTGGTATGGTATTTCTATTTCACATGGAATTTCCATTTTTAGTTTTTTTTTTTTTTTATTGCGGTAACACTGATTTACAGTATTTATGTTTATAGGATCTCCCCCTTCAGATGTTGTTACCACACTGCTCCCATAGCCCATTGTGCCCCCTCCCTACGTTGTTCTCACCTTTCCCCTCCCCCTCTGATAGCCTCAGTTCTGTAGTCAACTTTCTAGGGTTTATTCAGCTTTATCTGACCCTTGATTTGGTTTTTCTATATTCCACATATAAGTGACAATGCCCAGTGTTTGTTTTTCTCCTTCTGACTTACTTCACTTAGCACCCCTCCAACTCCATCCATGTTGCTGCAAATGGCAAGAGCTTATCTTTTTGACAGCTGACTAGTATTCCATTGTGTATATATACCACATCTTCCTGATCTGCTCATCTGTATTTGGGCACTTAGGCTGTTTCCATAACTTGGCTATTGTAAATAGTGCAGGAATGAACATAGGAGTGCATATGTCCCTCCCAATTAGTGTTTTTGTATTCTTCCAGTAGATACCTAAGAGTGGAATTGCTGGGTCATATGGTTGATCCATTTTTAATCTTTCGAGAAACATCCATACTGTTTTCCATGGGAGCTGGACCAGTCTATATTCCCACCAATGAGAAGATTCCTTTTTCATCACATGCCCAACTTTTCATCACCTCTCACAGGGGTGAGGTGGTTCCTTGTGGTTTTGATTTGCATTTCCCTGATGATAAGTGATGATGAACAGGCATTTTTCACATGCCTGTTGGCCATTTGTATGTCTTTTTTCGGAGAAGTGCCTATGTAACTCTTCTGTCCATTTTTTAATTGGGTTATTTATTTATTTATTTTTGTTGAGTTGTATGAGTTTCTTTGTAGATCTTGGCTATTAGCCCCTCGTCGAATATATGATGTGCAAGTATTATCTTCCATTCAGCAGGTGTCTTTTTGTTTTAGCGATGGTTTCTTACTCTATAAGAAGCTTTTTAGTTTGATGTAGTCCCAACTGTTTATATTTTCTTGCTGCTGGAGATGAATCCACAAAGACATCTCTGAAGCCTGTGTTGTGGAGTCTACTGCCTATGTTTTCTTCTGTGTGTTTTATGGTTTCTGATCTTACATCCTATTCATTGTTAGTTTTTTAAAATAAATCTGGTTCAATTTCCCAACTGGTTGCACCAGTTCACATTTCCATTAGTAATACAATGGGGTCCCTCTTTCTCTGCATCCTCTCCAGCATTTTTTAAAAATATGCACCATTCTCACAGATGTGAGATGAGATCTCATTTTGATCTTTAGCTGCATCCCCCTTATTAAAAGTGATGATGAAGGGCCTCCCCGGTGGCGCAGCGGTTGAGCGCTGGGTTGCGAAGTGGCCCGCAGCCTCTGCAGCGCCGGTTCAATCCCTGGCTGCTCCCCAGCCACCGGAAGAGGGTCCCATATGGCACGCAGACCTCTCCTGCCGCCCGCTGCTCCCCTCAGCAGTGTACTTCGGTCCTTCTGCCTGCTCTGCTCCCCGCTCTGGCTCTGGTGAATTCTCTCACCCTCCCGCGCTTCTGACTGTACCCAGTGCTTGTATAAATAAATAAAA